TGGTAGTGGTAGCGGTAGTGGTAGTGCTAGTGCTAGCAGCAGCAGCAGCAGCAGTAGGAGTAGTAGTAGTAGTAGTAGTAGTATAGAGTAGTAGTAGTAGTAGTAGCAGCAGCAGCAGCAGTAGCAGGAGCACCGGTAGTAGTAGTCGTCGTCGTCGTCGTCACGGAAGTAGTAGCAGTGCGAGAATACTGAGAAACCAAGGGTGGACAGCGTGGCTTCAGATTGTCTTAGCTTTTGTCCGTCCTCAGGCGCTGGAACGTTCTCAACATTCAGTTCCTGCCGAGACGGGTGGGTTCAACCCCTCCCTGCACACCGAACCCGGCCTACGTCCATGTCCATTGTACCAAATGATTCTCTTACTAACGCAGTCCGCAAGTATACTCTTAACATTAAGGCTTGCTTCGAACGACTGTGCTTCTTTCTGTGCCGTGTGGTCTCTGTGTGACCTCAATAACCCTTTTTAACTGGCTTGCCACATCACGCCAGGACAGCTGACTCGTTAACCTTGAACCCTACATGATGTGCTGTAGACGAACTTACACGCATGTGCACGCAAGATTGCCCGTTTCTCATGCGAATATCACCGGGCCCAGGTCTTGTCTTCGGGTTTCAACTCTCACACTCGCACGCAGCGGGCGGGGGGCCACACAATGTCTTAGGGTCTTAGGGTTTAGGGTTGCAGTATAAGGGTACAGCTCATCTGGGTGTGAGATCGTGACGAGTCAAGCCGCTGCAGTGCTTGTCCGGCTTGATACAGCTCCATGTTGGGAAAGGTGCGCAAGAAGTGGTGAGATCCCGGGCACTCCAAATCGAACCACCTGAACTTGCAACCAACACAAAAAAGAAAGCCACAGCCCACACGCAGCCCGCATGTCTTATGCCTCCTGAATGGGAGAGCTTAAGCCACTTTACGAGGTTCGACTACATAACGGCCCAAAGCCCAACAACTAAATTACATGAAGTCCCAAAGGTTTGCAAATTCTAGCAGCTCCTGGAGGAAGGATTCAAACCTTGGCGGCCAACCCACTCAGGGTTTAGGGCTTCGGGTCCGATACCCTGAACTGCTTTGGGTTTGTCTAGGCCGAAGTCCTGGGATTTTGCAAGGCTTGGTCTTGCGAGGGTTTCAACGCTCATTGGTTCTTGCAGTGACGAGAAAAACAAGTGGGGCCGGAAAGTCGCTCCCTCAAGCTTCCCTACAAACAGGAGCACTGTTAGACGTTGAGAGCACGGGTGTCGAAAGCCAAGGGCCCTGTGCCACGACATGGTCAGTAGAGACTTGAGAGAAAAGAAAGACCAGTCTCCAAAGAAATGGAGAGTTTTCTGCAAGGCCCTTGAATCCGAAACCCCACACCCTGAGAGATCCAGCCTTTGGCATCTAGAACGCAGCCTGCTGCCTTTGTGCTCAAGCACAACTCCAAAGCCACTATCCCTGGAGGAGCACACCTGAAAACATAAATCTGAAAGGGGCGCTGAAGCCACAGCATGCCATGATGTCCGTTTTGGGACTCGGGCGACGCATCCAAGTCCGGGGGCGGAGGCGCAGCAGCCGAGGCCGTCGCAGACTTTAGCATTGGACCTTAGAGCGTGAACCGGGCTACAGGGCTTCAGACTTCAGGGCCTGTCCGGTGTTCGGTTTAGTGTAGTGCTTTGAGCCTGGACAAGCCGGGCGAAGAAATGCTATGTCATGTCCCTCTCAACCATCGCATGCTGATCTGGTAGTGTTGTTGTTCTGACAATCTCGCACTTCTTGACAGCAGCTGGAGCAGCAGCAGAGTAGCAGCAGTAGCAGTAGCAGCGGTAGTAGCTGGAGCAGCAGCAACAGTAGTAGCAGTCGTCGTCGTTGTTGTGGTTGTTGTGGATATTATCGCTGTTGTTGTTGTCGTTGTGGTGGTGGCAGCAGCAGCAGCAGCAGCAGCAGCTGCTGCTGCTGCTGCTGCTGCTGCCTCTACGCATACGACTACAATCACCACCACTGGCAGAACCTTATATTTGGGTTGCTACTCCTACCGGACTGCGGCTCATGATCTTCATGTCTGCTGCTGATGTTATTCTGGGCTTTTGCAGTAACGGGTGCAACTGTTCACGCTGCCGATTCGGTCTTTGGTCGGTCGCAGCTCTTTTGTTGTTCTGATTATTCTGCTACTAGTTTTCAAGTGGGTTCTGTGCTATATGGATTTAACCACCTTCTTGATGGTGAGCTGCATTTTTCCATTGTTATGCTCACCGTCAATAGCAGTTATCAGGGTCACTCCCACAGCTATTATCATTGTTATTCTTGGTGCCATGTTGCTTTCTGAGTCTTGAATTCCAGCTGAATACGAGGTCGTACATGCACTTTGGATGGCAGTATACCGCAATGATCCTACACTGCACTCGCAAGACTCGGTAACATGATTATACAGCACCGTGAAACACAACATCTCTCGAAACGGCCAAAATACTGCGCATTAATTCACATAGCAACATACTACATGCGGTCTGTGCACTTCAGAGTCTGGCAACATCCAAAGTCATTTTACAAAATGTGGCGTGCTGTCCTTAAAAAGCTGTCCTCAAAAAGCTCTCCTTGGTACATGCTGTATGTCCGCCGCCTCTCGCAAACTCGAACCGAGACGGTCGGAGATCTCTTTGAATCCAGGCCTCGCTGAATCACCGGCTGTGGGGGCGGCCGCTTCTCGGCGGGTGTCGCCTCGCCACACCATGAGTTTGCCCATGATTCCTCTCTGTTCCTGCAATGCTACTATTGTGTGATATCACAGCCGCTACCGGCTTCTAAGTATTCGCGCTTGGGGTGTAGTAGATCCTTAAAAACTTGGACTCGGGCTTCCAATCACTGGGCACACAGATCCTTCAGAACGAAAACGGTAACATTTAATGAGCGCAAGTCTCGTCAGGGAGGCGCAGTGTGCGTGTGTGTGTCTATCTGTCTGTCTGCCTCTTGGAATGATTGCATGCACCTCGTCGCGCACTCGTAGTCGTAGCAAGGACGGATGTATGCATGGAATCATCCCCACAAATACGAGTTATGACAGCGTGGATGCAAGTACCTACACGAGGACCATACGACCAGAGACAATGACGATGGAAATCTCAAAGATGATGAGAGGATGCATAAGAATGCATGTAAAAAGCATGCCCGTGGAAAGCACATTGGCACATGATGGCACATGCGATGGACCGCTCTGCAATGAGGCTGGGCACAACAATGAGCAGCAAACTGACTTTTCTTAGAAGATCAATGGCAACATTCCTTTGAAAGACACGAAGCCACGAAGCTGCACCAGAGAGTCCTCAGTGCCTCGACTGGAAGTCAAAACTGAGCGGTCGAAAACGGAACATCATCATCCGCACTTCTGGACTCAAGATTGATCATTGCAGCCGGGCTTGTCGTGGCAACCGCGGCGAAGCGCGAGCTGAGAATCTGTTCTGGCAGCAGCTGCGCAAACAGCCACTAACCGCCCAGCAGACTTCACGCGCGGATAAACGGGCAGGTTGCACCGAATGAACTGGCTGTTTGGTTCTTCCCTTCTCCACCATCGGAATTGTCATCAACACAGCACAGTGAAGACTTTACGTTGGAATCGATTTCTTGCTGACACCGACGGTAGCTCCGGTCAGTGCTGTCGCAGGTGTGACACATGTGTAAGCCCGGTCATCAGCCGTCTCCACATTGACTCGTGAGGCCAATTGCTCACGGACTGGAAAGAAGAGACCAGCAGCTGCTGACTGCAGAATTTTGAATCCGGGTTATGTTGTAGCCAACCGGGAAGATTTTGTACGTTTTGGGTGGTTGTTGTCTATGTGTGCGTGTATAGACATATAATATGTGTATGTGTGTATATATATATACAATAAGAATAGGAACCCAGAAGCACACGAAGGAAAAAAGGTCTTCGCACATCTTTGCGCAAGCTTGGATTGGCTCAGGATTCTGAGCCGAACTGGACACTACGCGATGAACTTGATACACTGCAAATCTACCGGCATCCAGACATATCCAGACACCCTACAGTGGTTTTGGGTAGTCGGTATAGGGGAGCTGCAGCCGCGGTGGAAAGCGGGATAGGGGCATTAGGGCTCTTAGCCACAGCGGGACCATCCCGCAGGCTGCATCTCACATACCGGTTTGGGAAGCCGCCAAAACAAGCAGCCGTGTTTAAACAACAACTCATCGACACGGAAAGTATACCCCTAGACCGCAGTTCCCTCTGGAGTAGAAAGCCTGTGACGAGGGAAGAGCCTCAACTCAAGTCTCATGACATGTTTGAAAGGAGAGGGCTCTACGGTCTTGAGGATCTCATAGCGGGACCCCACCTGTAGGATGCCTCTTCATCCCAGGATGTCGGGGACCCGGAAAGCTCGCCAGCTCTGCGTTTGGGTTTGGAGTTGGGTGGGCTCCTTGTGCGGGTTCATGTAGGGACTGTATCATCTATCAGGGACCTACAGTCTATTAGGCTTATGTTCGGGTGAGTTTTCCAGTGAACAGTGCTCCCGCATGATACGGCCCACGCAACACCCTGACACTCACACTAGCATCCCCAAACAAAAAGCTTCCGAGCTCTCCCTTCGTGCCAAGAAGGCAAAAAAAAACGACATTTCCGGACTCCTCGAGTGAATGACTTTCAGGTTCAGCAGGTTGCGTGATACTGTAGCATATTGCAGTAAAGTATGTCATAAAGATATATTAATTATGGTATGTTGTAGCAAATAAAAGATGTAGTATATTACAGTAAATTGTAGTATATTGTATTATGTCATGGTTTACCGTTTCTCCTTATTATATGGTTCTATCGATTCCCCCTCTATCTATCTCAACTCGGCCGATGGGATTAGACTCCGACTCTAAACGTTTAAGCCATCGGTTCAACAGTTAACTCGGCGTGAAGGTAAACACTTCGGACATGACGATGATAATGATGATGATGATGATGAGATAAGAACGTAAGATATCGTGGGAACTTCGGCAGGCGGATCGTGGACAAGTGGTCGATGTGACCACTCTGAGCAACCACGCATGTGCTGAGCATCTGTGAGGAATGCCCTAACATGATACACTATAATAAAACATAATATACTATAATATACGCTAAATATACTAAAATATACTATACTAACTAATATACTATACTATAACATACTACAATATACTACAATATACCACAACATACTATAGGGTAAATCACTATAGCAGTAGCATAATGTACTATTTTTGCACCAGGCCCTTCGGCTTCAGAATGAAAGCGAGGTGACTACGCGGGAACCGAGGAAATGTGGCCAGGTGCGGAGTTTGCAGGAACAGGCGCATTATAATATGGTGTAGACGTAGAGTATCAAACTATAGTTCTTTGTACTGTAGTCTATTGTACCACTATTGTAGTATCTTAAGCTTCTAGTATATATTTGCTTGTTAGGGCATGGAAGCCCTGCTAGAAAGGGGAATGGGGAGGAAATGACCAAGCAGGTGTGTCGGGGCGGATTTGGGACTTCAAGTTCCCAAGAACTTGGAGGCCCCGGATCTCCGGAAGCAGCGGTTTAGGGCTTAGGGCTTCGGTTTAGGGCTTAGGGTGGTTTAGGGCTAAGGTTTTTGGGTGCCTGGTCGGTTGAGGTGAAACCCCTTGGGGTTTAGGGCCGAAGAGGCTTTTTTTTCCCAGGGTTGTCTTCCCCTCTCGCAAGGCAGGGCTCAATGCCCAGAAGCGAGGTTGCTTTGTGTTGCTTTGGCAGTGCCAAGAGTTGGGAAACGGGATCGTCGGTCGTCCACTGTTTACGGTTTGGGGTTTTAGGGTGTCGACTTTGGGGTCTATTCTGCCGCGGTCCATGGCACCTTCGGTTTAGGGGTTTTTTGAATGCAATGCACCTTTGACTTCGTAGGGTTTAGGGGAGGACAGTCGCGGCCCCGGCTTTCAAGTGGCAATCTTGAGTGCTACTCGCAGTCTACGTGCCCTCGGAACTGAAGCCCGTTCTCCAAGCGCATGCTTACCAGTGGTCCTGCTATACTTCTGAACATGCAAGGTTAAAGCCAGACCGTGTCGTTAAGCACATAGCTTTATGTGTATATATATATTTATTTATTTGTTTGTTTATTTAATTAATATTTGTTTTGTACAGCCAAGCCGAGGTCGCTCTCGACCGCCGTACCCCGGAATACAAAACCGGCACAAGGGCGTGAGGACATAAATGCATAGAACATACAAGTGAAACTGCCGACGTCAATTAAGTTAGCAATTTGTTTAATTCGCGCTATCCTGCGCTCTAACTTCTCTAGAGGCCCAACCTTCCAGGTCATGTAAAAAAGTGCACTCCAACGAGAACACCCCGGCACAGGCGGGTTTCATTCACATCGAGGCTTCCGCACAATCCGCTGGCTATCAACTCGACGTTCTTGGCTTGCGCTCCGCTCCGAGAAGTTGCCCAAACGAATCCACACCTTCGTGGAACGATGGGCTGAGATCTCCACCTGGTTTGCACTTTCAAGGACGCAAAACCTGCTTGATTCTTGGCAGTTTCCTAAACAGGCATGTTACAGTGCAGCGTAGTGTAGAATTGCGTATTCTAGAATATAGAATACTAAACTGAAGTATGGTCTTTTATATTCTATCATTATTATAGTATGCTTACATTATATCTGGCCAGCCTTCTGGGCCACACGGTACCTGGAGGACGCGTGGCCCGTCCGACACCGCAGGGCCGGAAGCGGGCGCGGCTGAATGGCGTAGGTTTCCTGCTGGTCCTGCGCATAGCGCGCCAGTTCGTGCTGGATCGTCGGCCACTCGGTCGGAAGAACCATCGAGCGAAGGTGCGGGACATGCGTTTGTGGGCTGTAGAACCGGCCAGGAAATCGTAAGTTCACTTGTGGAGTGCTGTAGTGAGCGGTCGCGGTGTCGACGAGCAAACCTTGAATTCCGAGGCGGCTCACCAGGAATACACTGACTAACTACACGGCACAGGCCACTGCCTGAGACTGTCATATACAAGTGCGCGTGAAGTACCGTTCAACCCAACTTCGTGGGCACAAGACTTCGACATGCTTCCGCTATTCAATTCCAACATTTTCTGCCAACAGTGACCAGCCTATCTCTTCCTGAGGTCTTCGTTCCGTTTAGTCCATTCTGTTGAAAGCCTTCAACAGTTTTTCTGCTTAGATATTTCGAGACTACGGTGTAGGATTCGAGGACGTTCTGCACCGGAAAGCCAGGAACGAGTATCACGGTGTATTTCAACATGCATTGCCGCGGGTATATTGATATCCATATCTATCTACGGCTGCGGGCACGGTGTATCGCTAGTTCGAGGGCGTCTCTGAATCTGTTCCAAGCGTTTTCATCACCCGCTATACCCTAAACCCTATACAGCCCTACAGCCAACCCTAAACCCAGAAATGAAGCTTGCCCAGAGACTCACATCTGCCATCTGCGAGAATATCTCTGCCAGCGCCCCACACGGAGGACTAGCCTGAAAGCAGAATGTGCAAAGGACAAGCTACTTTGTGTTGCGGTTTGCCTTTGCTAAGTTGGGCAGATGCAAGGACATTTTCGTGGATGTCCATCTATCCACCTATCTATAGATCTACCAACCTATCTATCTGTCTATCTATCTAACTATCTATCTGTGTATCTACCTACCTATCTATCTACCTATCTATCCTTCTATCTAAACCTCCTATCTACTGAATGGTCCGATGCTTACTTGGCT